AACAGTGTCAATGTTGCAAAGTTCATAAAATATGAAACAAGTTAAATTCAGCTACAAGCAACTCAACAGAAGGCAATAGTGTCATTATTTAGTCCAAGTCAGTTCACTGTTAATTCAGTTTAATAACCATGTTGCCAAGTTAGTGTCATTATTCAACTCAGTTCAGTTGAAATTTTGTTCTCATCCAACAGTGTCAGTGCAGTTAAACTGGTAATATTAGTGGATATTAACTGCCAATATTAGTGGAAGTGTTCCCTGCCACTGTGAAGATCTAAAAATATTAGTACAGGTCATCACAATGGAAGACGATTTTGATATATCAACAGACCACGTACCAACATACCACCATATTTTTTGCCCAACCGTATTTATTTGAACCAGAATACTCAGATCAAGAACTCAGAGAAATGGAGGAAGCATCTGCTGAAGCAGCACGTCTTCAAGCCTCAGAGAGACAGAGATCTCTTCAAAAGTGGTGGTGTTCTTGTAGTAAGTGTTGTGAGATGCCAACAGAAGTGGAGAGCATCTGTTGTCACGAATGGAACATAGCAATGCCACAACTACAAGACGCCAACGAGGACATTGCCGAGGGTGTCCCATCACACACCTGCCTGAATGAAGATCCAGACTTTTCTCCGCTGGTGAGCCGCAGCGTTTTGCACATTGTGTTTAGCTTGCCACGTATAAACTGGAGGCGAAGTCCAAGGCCAGAGGGACCCAATGGCACGCTGTCAATAGAGTGAGTAATGTGTTGTATTTGTAATGTTATTGCAACGATTACAGGGGTGCATATGAACAAATTAGTTGGATTGAACAATCCGGATAAGCGCAAGTAAGTACCATTTTGATTAGCCGTCGTACCTACAATGTGTGTGCACTGTGTAAACAATGAGTGACGTATACGCGCGAGAGATCACTTCTGGCGTTCGCGTAAACTACGCCAAAGCACGTTACACAGCTCACGCACCGGATGCCGTGCGCGCGCTCAAGGCAGTTGGTCATAGTGGTGTATTAGAGGTAAAATATGATATAAATACTGTTCGGTTTCTGGCACAAACC